ACTCTTTTTCCTAGTTAGCATGCATGCTTTCTAAAATATTACTACTCTGGTCATGCTACAGCAAGTAACAAATGGGCTTCTACATTTCCTGGCAGAGTGCACTCTCTCACATTTGTTTAATTAACAGTTTAATTAACTGGGCCTTCTGCCAACCTATAGTCATTTCAGATCATTCACAGAAGGGTGGAGCTGCACAAACCTCTTTATTTCAGAAAGCTTTCTGAGTTGAGCATTTTGTTCTTGAAACAAATCCTGCAGCCTTTATCAAGCAAAACTTCCAAAGCAGCACATGAAAGAAGAGGGCATGGGTTTTGGATGGTATTTTTAAATACTGGTTTTTTTTAAAAATATGCATTTATTGTTCAAAACTTTAACATTTGTTGTAAACACTCTATTTATTAAGTTTAGTATTAGTAATGTATGCAGAAGAAAACATGAAGGGAGTTTGTTTGGTACAGCAGAAAAGGAGGAGCTCTTGGAAGGGGTGCCATGGACAAAGCGATGGGCTCAAAAAATGATCTGAGAGGCAGCATTCTGAAAAAGCAGAAGTGGGCAAAATTCACGAGTCAAAAATCTAAGCCAGAGGCTGCCTAAGTAAGCAACAGCCATGGGTATGGCTAGGAAAAATGGTATCTTCCAAGATTTTTTTAAGGCCAGGAAAGACCATCGCAGCTCTCTAGTCTAACCTACATAAAGCACTCCATTAGACTTTTATCAGTATTTTTGCTTCAGGAGCTGTGCCTGAACTAAATTTTATCATTTTGGGAAAAAAAAAAAAAAAACTAATTTCATTTTATAATTTCTAATAAGTCAGAATCCTCTACTCCAACACTGTGACAGCCTTACAGATCAGTCCAGTTGAAAACCAAAAGCCAATGAACAGTTCTGAATAAATGGCAGGATGATGACCTGATGACAGTAACAGGTGATGACAACAGAGAGCTGAGACGATGGGGTGAGGGATTAAGAGCTCCACCTTAGCCATGCAAGATTGAACTCAACACATGACAGAGGAGGTGAGATCTTTATAAAGCACAAGAGAAAGATCTGGAAAAGGAAGGTAGTTAAGTATTTATTACTTTACTAGGACAAATACTTTAATTTGTATTTGTGGGCAATATTCAGCAAGAGTGTAGTCTACAGCACAAAGAGAAGGGGATCAGAGAAGAAGCCAGAGGCCCATAGGAGCCCTGAAAGACACAGATGATGTTCAATAATTTCTCTTAGGGGATAGTGTAACAGGAATCCCAGCTCTTCAGCCTGGTTAGCAGCATAAGTGCAGTGCCAGGTGTTTTTTGCAGCCCACATCATTCTTTGTAAGTCAGGATGCCATCTGCCTTGGTTTCTGTTAACAGTCATGCCCCATGAAGTTACCCATCCCCATTTCTTGCCAAATCAGGAGCTCTGCTCAGTAATTCTGATCAACAACACAGGTGGATGTCAGTCACCCAGAACAGAATGGCTCTAATGCAACTTCCTTGCTAATTAAACTTGGCCACCAAGCCACTGAGCACTTTTGCAGAGAGAGATGAACTAGGACAGAGCACAAAGAGCTCCCTAGGTAGGCTCATCCCCAAAGTGTTTTAGATAAAACAGAGTTTAACAGACAGCAGCCACTCTTAAAAGTCACCTGATCTCTGGATGATTTCCAGCACTCTTAAATACTCAAAAAGTCTTGAATGAGGGAACACGGAGAAAAGTATAAATGGATTATGCACTGGGGTACCATGTTCTCTTCTTCACATTCTTCTACTGCATCTCAAGTGTTTAAAAAAAGCAAAACTAAACACAAGTCATTTTACAGGCCAAGCAAATGCGGTTCTATTCTGTCCTTTTCACTTGATGCTGGTATATTGCAGGAGAGACCAGTGTGCATCTTGTCCCTCTGTTGTAGCCTTTTGACACCAGTTGCAGTCATGCAGATGAAAGCACTCTGCTCTGTGCACAGCATGCTCAGGAAATCCATCTGAAGGCAGATTACCCATGTTGAGATGTACTCCTTGGTTTGAACTTGTTCTCTGTCAACATTTTCCTATCTCCTTTCTCAATTTGAGAGTGTCTCTTTAAAAACATTCACATTTGTATTTTTATGGGGTTTGTTCCATCTTACAAAGCTGTCACTTTGTAATCTCTCTTCAGGGAATTTTAGGTCTTGGGGAGCCTGTGTTCAACCTACCTCATGAACAAATGAGAAAAAAAAAAACAAACACAAAGAAACCTTTCAAAATAATTTCAGAAAAGAAATGCATAAAAATGGCTGCAGGCATTTTAATTAAAGAGAAATCCTCTTCAGATGTCAAACTCCATGTTTATTTCTCCAGGCTTCCATTTTCTGAACTGAAGATGGAAAAAGCTATTTTTATCTGTTTTCTTTGTTATGCTCTTGAATTCTCAAGATCTTGAAAAATGTTCATGTTAGAAAGAAGAAGCAGGTTCTATTTCTATAAAATCCAAAGTCACAAAGATCATAGTTTCTAGCCTTTCTGATCAACAAAGACTTTTTCAGGTGACTAAAATACAAGGAGTTTGAACTGTCCTTAAGTATTTTTTCATTAAATTTTTTATCTACTCTAGCTTAGTAAATTTGGGCTTTAGAGTTGAGATTTCCTCTTTTAACAGATAGAGGTGTAATTTTCCCCCTCCCCCATCTTTTATTCAGTCTTCACTTAACCAGTGCAGCAACAGGTCTCTCTCTGTGTTCCATGAGGGTTCTGCCACATGTTCCCTTCTGCTCTGGCACCATTTACCACCAAGCAGAGCAGCTCAGCTGCCATCTAGCTGCCATTCCATCAGAAAGATTTCATTTACATACTGGTTTGCAAAAAGACAACAATACCAAAACAAAACCAAAAAGAAACCCCACCAAAAACAACAGAACCCAACAGAACAACCCCCTAACAGAGATCTACTGCTCTTCAGATTTGCTGGAAATGAGGGGGCCCAGGAGGGGAGATGGGCAGACTTAACACTACAACCACCTAACTCACGCTTCCTTAACAAAGTCAACCCGCAAACTTAACACACTGTAGACTAGACAATGTCTCTGTGCACCTTCAGTCCTACAACTCACCATGTCCCTAGAATCCATTTCTACTGCTAGAGAGCAGACTGGAGAGTCAGTCCTTCTGGCCCCACAAGCTCCCTGTTATGTTACCCAAGATAAATCTGTTTCAATCCTTCAGCTGTGCCAGCAGCGCCCAGTAGCTGGAGCCTAGACAGCGGAACCAGAGAGGCCCTGCCATTCCTGTCTGCCCACGCTGGGAGCATCTTGGCCCCACCAGTACCTCCCCGAAGCCTGCCCCATGGTAAGGAAATGCCCAGCAGGCCTGCTGCATAATGCCTGCAGTCATGCGCAGATAAGTCTAGAGCACCTGAAAACTGACCTTTCCCCCCCATAAAAGCAATCAGAAACAAAACCCCAAAAGTCTTTCCTGGTCTTCTAGGTTAGCACCAAAGTTTTCAACTGAATTTATTTTTTCCAAAATCTTCAAAATTTTTAGAGTCCTTATACTAATATGGACTCACATCTATTTTGGGACTCAAATTAAATGTGTTGAAGCATGGCCAGGCTTCTTGCCAGTGACCATCTTCAGCAGTAACTTAAGGTTAGAAAGCTATTAATGAAACTACAAATGTTCATTGTTTACGAGCCTGTTGCCTTGCCATGAGATCCTTGATAACAGGGGTGGATGGAAATCTATCACTGCACTTAACTTCTTGTTAGCATTTTGTGACGTGACAGATGTGTTCCACATTATCGATCAGGAAGTTGGAGTGGAGCTATCAGCAGTTGGAGCTGTTACCTGCCATGACAAAGTCTAAAATCCCAGCTCTTTTGCTGCAGCGAGGCAGCACCAGTCTGTTTCTGATCCTTGTCTCATTCCAGGACACTACTCACTGCACTTTGATGCCTTCCATCACCAGCTCAGTGATGCTCCTCCGGCACTGCCTGCACGAACGTTGCGCAAGGTAAAAAAAGTGGTAGGAGAGCAGAGAGGGATATAGATGGAAAATCGTAGGCTCCTGGTTAACCCACTCCCACCAAGTAGCTTTTGAATACAGATACACTATTTTTAATGTGCTAGTAAATAACACAAGAAAATCCACTGAAAGCTCATAACCTGCTCCATAGGTGACTTCTATAGAAATAACTGTTGTAGGCCCTTCCACTTTCCTTTGCGTCACATGCTGTGATTTCAGGCACCCTGATTATCACCTCAGCTCCTGTTTTTTAACAGCCCTGGTGGTGTTAGGTACACTTGTCTGCTCACCAAAGGGTACTTCCATACAAGTCAGAGGAGTGCATCTATAAACTAATGATCGCTGATAATTTTCAACATAATGGAACTTCACCACTGTTAACAACACTGCACAAAGCTGGAATGTGGGACCAACACACAAGATGCAATCTTGCCTCTTATGTAAATTTTAACCTGGTTTTGTTTTCCTCCAAACAGTCCCCTCTTCATCCTATCCCTGCATCACCCACCAGTCCACAGTCTGGTCTAGATGGAAGTAATTCCACTTTATCCGGCAGTGCCAGCAGTGGTGTCTCTTCCCTGAGTGAGAGTAATTTTGGACATTCTTCTGAACCACCTCCTCGCACAGACACCATGGATTCTGTCCCTAGCCAGGCCTGGAACATGGATGAAGACCTAGAGACACCCTACCTCCCTGTCAGGTACAGTCTCTCTGAGCCTGATGTCCTAGAGTCACTCAAATCCCAGCCATGCCGAAGCCACTCTGCTCCATCTGGAGTCATTCCTCAGGACACCATGGACCCTCCTGCTCTACCCCCCAAACCTTACCACTCCCGGCTGCCAAACATGGAGAACGAGGAGGGGATGATAATTGAAGATGATGACAAACACCGCCCATTGCATCGTAAGGTGTCCCAACCTGTGAGTGGTGGAAAGGAAGAGCAGGCCAGGGTAGCATGGGAGCATGGCATCAGTGAGCAGTAGGGACAGCTCCTGGTAAGCAGCCTGTATCATCACTCCATGTCTGACTATACAGGAGAGAGAGAGAGAGAGAAGGACTCGGAGAACAGCAAACCAATTTTCTACTGCCGCAAGTTTATGTCTGGAGCCCGCAACAGCAACTGGGCCAGCATGGGAGGTTGCTGCTTTCCTTTTTAATTTCTTTTTACACCTTCCCGTTATGTTTTTTAACTTTCTGCGCAGTGGACAGTTATTCCTTCTGCAGTATCTTAACACATCAGATGGCACACAAGCCACAGAGACTTGCAGAAGCTGAAAAATACAATTTTAAGCAGAGGGGGGGAAAAGGGGAGAATGTGGCAAGCTGATTTTGAAACTGCTTTCTTTCCTCCCAGTTCTGAGACGCACATGAGTAGACACAGTTGCACTAGGGACATATTCTTTGCTGTACAGAAGTGAAAGCTCATTGCTGAAATCAGGGATTCTGGGAACTGTCAGGCTGGAAGGTGCATGAGCTGCAGGCAGTGGAAAGATGGCAATTCAAGAAGATATTGGCTCTTTTGAGAGCAGGATTGTACATATCTGTGCAGTGATCTCCCTGCATTGGTTCATAGGTGCTGAGGCAATCCAACCAGTGCTGATGCACTGATTTCCAAGATATAATTTCCAACAAACTCTGCCTCCTTTGTTTTTTATGTACTGTTTGTTTTCTTAAATTTTGCTTTCACTGGCTAAACCAACCTACTTTCTCATTGTAATCATATGCTATTCATCTGTGCTACAGGATGAGAGGGGGTTCGTAGCCACTGGAGCTGCAACCTAATTGTAGGCCTTTCTCATGCCCAACTTTGGGCAGGCTGTTGACACCAGCATTTCTATTCCAGTTTAAAAAAAAAAAAAAAAAGCAAACAACCAAATTGAGTTTTTCCTGCTACAGCTGGTTGACAACCCAACCAGTAAAGAAAAGGTGGCTTAAACACATCAAATCCAACAATCCTTGCCTCAGGGCTGAACATAATTCTCACCAACTTCCATCACTCAGGAGCTGAGATTCATTCCCTGTTAACCACACTGTCCTCAGTCCTTCCCAAAAGCTCATTGCAGCTGGTGTGCAGAAAGAATCTCCATCTCTCACAGTAGACAGAAAACACTAAGATACAAGAAATGCTCAGTATACAGTGTACACCCTAGAGTCAGGGATCTTAAAGGCAACCTGTAAAGAAGAAATGTCTGTTTCCTCTTTTGCTTCTTTAGAATGTATAAAGAAGCTTTAAGAGCTTCTTCTCTTTTCTGGAAGGTTGATTTCCTTTCTCCTCAGGCAGCAATACAGTCTTCCCCCTCACTGCCTTTTTTTTTTACTGATGGGCTCCAGAAATGACTGAAGAATGTTTTAAAGAAAACCCAAACAAACAAATCCCAAGAAACAGAACCATGCAGAGGTGAAGATGGTACAAATCTATGAACACAAAACAAGCCTTTTAATCAGTATTTGCTTAGTTCAGTACATGACAAACCAGGAAAAAAACACTTGGTAACAGAGCCAAGAGCTGTTCTTTGAAAAGAACAGTAAGAAATCTTTTATTTGTATTTTCAGTATTTTTAAAAGAACTTTCAGTCAAGACCATATCAAATATTCAATGCTTTTAAATAAAAAAGCAATGTTCCTTACCATGCCCACACATTTTAGCCTTCCCAGTAGCCCTTTGCACCTGCAGATTGCAAAGCACACTCCAGGGGATGGTAACAAACCACCCTCTCACCACAGACAAATCTGAAGCACATTCAACTAAGAGACTGACTTACCTCCATCATCTAAATTAGTGGCAGGAGTAGCACTTAATTTTCATATTCAGTTCTTGCCCTAAACACTCAGTTTCTCATGCTACAGGCAGCATAAAGAAGCAAAAAAGGATATTGTAAGTCTTTTGCAGGTCACCTTTAGCACTACCTCTAAATGCAGTGGCTGGGCAGAGTACATTGCTTCTGAACTCTCCTAAGGATGGTCTGTCTGTACAACGTTTGGACTCAGCAGTTGTATGAAGGGGAATTTAAGAGGATTTTATTCTTTTTCTTCTCAAGCTCTAGCCCATGAAAAAAATACTAAGTTATGGATTTGTTTCTTAAATGGCCTATTTGGCTGGAACAAAGTCTCTCTTGCTTCCTCTATTTTGTTATTAACACAGGCTGCTTGTAATCATATCCTTCACAGTTAAAACAACCTTAAAAAAACCTGACCTATAGTGGACGTTTCATTTCTAGCAGGAAAGTGAGTTTTCCAATACTAGGACACTCCTGTATGTTAATGAATCAAAATGGACCTCTGGTATAGAACACGTGTATGAAAACTCAACTCGATTATGTTTTTGGTAAAGGTAAGTCAAGGTAATTCTTTAGGAATGAGTGACATTCTCACATACGCTATTCTCCCATCTGACCAAGTGTCTCCAAGTGAAGTTGTTAAGAGAAATAAGTATTTGATACCATCTGCCATGCCCCTTTTTTATTTTTTCGCAGGAATATTAAAAGCAGTAAGTGTAGTGACTTGCTGAGCTTCCTTATTGCAAAAAAACAGCAAGTCTTGCAAATAAAACTTTGCAAAAACTACAATATGGGACTAAGTCCCAGTCAGCTGGAAAACTTGCCCACTGGAGCTCTGATCAGTCTCTCAAAAGGTATCATCCTGCTCCAATCAGAGACCTGGTGCAACAGGAGTCCATTTTGGGAGGCTGACATTACAATGTATTTGTAAGGGTTTAAAGATCAATTACATGATGTATAAAAATACCCAGTTTATGGAAAGTTTGCATGGAGAAGGACAGAATAAATGGCTGAATTTACCAAATTTAAGTCTCTCTGGAGTTAAATTTGTTACTATTCTGATATCTACCAAATATTCTGTCTTGCTTTTCAGTGCTTGCCTGAAAGGGGGCAGAAGATAGAAAGACTATTATTAAAGATTAAGGTTTTGTGAATCTTGGAACTAATACTTCTTGGTACTAATACTTCTCTGTAGGGTGGGGTGTCTTGTAGCATAACACAACTTCAACATCAAGCTCAGTCCTGGAGTGGGTGGAAGCAACAGCAGTTGTTGCACTTGCCTAGCAGGATTTGAAGAATCCTTGTATAAACCACAGCAACAGGATGTTTTGAACACGACCTCGTCATTCTATATTTAATCCAAACTTAAAATGTACTTGCCTTCATTGGGTTTTCTTTGCATAACCACACAGCATGTGCATTCGTGGGAAAACTGATGGAATTCTGCTACAAATCTATCCATCATCACTGTACCTGCTGGCCCCTTCTGAAACAGAAAAGCAATTAAACAATTTATCTGAATCCTACTTCCCTCCCTCCCCCAGTAGTTGGGTTGGTTTTATTACTGTGTGCAAGACTAAGATTCTTTTCCATTTTTTCCTCTGTTTGCCTTTTAGATTATTTACCCTTTTTTAGGTAAGGGATATTGTATATCCCTTCTGTGGGAGAATCAGCCAAAACTGGGGAGGCTGGAGAGAACAAGAGCCTTTGGGAAACAAATTATGTGATATTTAAATTTTCCTATGATCAAGCTTCTCTGTAAATATCCCCATTTGAATGCTGTGTATTTGTACAGGAAATTGAGCAAAAAATGTATAGATTGTGATGTCTGACTGGTATTCTGCCCTGTAAATGTGTTTTTAACCTCTGGCATTCTGTGCTTATTTAAAAAAGGCAAAAACCTCTAACCACTTCTCTTTTGTGTATTCATGTTTGAAACAAAATTAAAACAGCTATCTTATCTATAATGGAAATCAAATTTAAAAGGAAAAAAGTAATTTGTACAAGTGTCCTAAAGGTACTTCATTGTATATATTGTGATAGCATGTTTCCAGAACCAACAAATAAGTGGTGTGAATTTTAGATGTAAATATCTACTGTTTGTTTGGGGTTTCTTTCCCTTATCCATTCACTCGACTGCTGTGATGTGGAATTAAAGATTAATACCTGATATTAAAGTGGTTTATCTGTATGTTCATTGTTGTCCTCCAGACAGGGTTATCCTCAGGCTGCCTCACATGTTCCAGAGGTATGCAGAAATGGCCACTACTTCCCCCTGTCGTGCAAAAGATTGCTGTTTGACAAGTGATGGTTCATTTAACTTGTTTTATTACAACAGCAAGACATTTTGACAGTGATTTCATTTCTTGCTTTTTAAGTTATTTAAATACCAATCACCCACACCAACATTCCCCCATTCCCAGGGCCAGGCTCCCAGGGCCACAGCATCCAAGATGGGGACAGAACCCTACCCCCTCCCGTTATATAGTTCTGAGCCACAGCCCCCCCAGAATGGTTCCAGCCCTGGCTTGTTGAGACATGACCCTCCGTTTCTGGGGACTCACCATGCAGTGCCCGCAGCTGAGCACAGGAGGGTGCTCGCTGTCCCAGTGTGTCGCAGCTTAAGAGTGAGGGGATCCCTTGGCTTATCCCGGGACACCTGTGTTAAAAGGAAAGAGGCTCAGAATACTGAGAGGCTGGCTTACGGGGGAGTAGGGAGGGTGAGGAGGGTCAGGCAGCACCGGGACCTGGCAGCAAGGGGACAACGGGGTTCCTGTGGCACAGGGGATGCTCCCTGGACAGATGAGCCCCCAACCCCACAGTGGGAGGAGGAGCAAGATGAGTCAGCCCCAACCCCCTGGGGCAAGGAAGGGTCCGTGGGTCTCTGGGGTGGCTGGAGAGGTCCTGGGGAGGGAACAACTGGGGGCTTGGAGAGCAACATCGGGGCACCAGAGAAGCCGAGGGCAGCTGAGAAGCTCTGGGCACAGCAAGGGAAGGAGGGAATAATCGAGGGAGGGAACAACACTATCTGTTATCGAGCTGTTCTTATCTAAGTCCTTTTGAAATTCAAAAGTTTTTGATTTTTCAAGTAAAAATTATTGTTCCCTGTTTCTACATAAAGAGTCTATGGAGCTAGTTGGGGAAAAATAAACACTAAAGCAACGGTGAAACTGGGGATAAAGGGAAGCGCTTGGTGGCTTTCCCAGGGGCTGAAAATGGAGAAAAAGGTGAAACCGTGCAGAGGACACAGGGGAGCTCCGCTGGCCCGGGGAGGGGGATGTGGGGCAGGGCTTGGCTCAGGGGGGGATGTGAAAGGCCCTGCAGTAGGGAAGCGAGGTGGGCAACAGGGCATGGGACACA